TAATATAATGTAAAGCGCATAGAGCCTGCTGTCGAGCGGGGTTATGCGCTATACAAATGCTATTTATTAGAATTATTATTAGTGACCATCTATGTGTATTGTTCTTTCGAGTATGTATCTATTCTATGTAACTCCAGAGCTTTTGTAATTAAATTCCTGCCTATGAATGAGTGGTGCATCTGACGTTAAATGACATTTTGTCAGCTTTATTTTCATATAAATTTTAATGAGAGTAGTATTATATAATTTAAATGTCTAGAATACCTACATGTTATTGTGTTTTTACGATCCTGTACAGCCAAGAAAAATTTCCCTCAGTGGTAATAAAGTAGTATCTTATCTTGTCTTATCTCATCTTATCTTATCTTATCTTATCTTATCTTATCTTATCTTATCAAATACGTCGTTCTCCGTTTGACATACCACTCCTCAGAACCAAGGTTTCCACTCTCGAACGTCTATCGGAAGTGGACGAATACAGACCTGTGTCGCTTTACTCTAAGGTAGGTGTATCACCCATACCTCAGTCCTCGTGTCTGTCTGTCTGTCTGTCTGTCTGTCTGTCTGTCTGTCTGTCTGGCTGTCTGTCTGTCTGTCTGCCTGTCTGTCTGTCTGTCTGTCTGTCTGTCTGTCTGTTTATCTATCTGTCATTCTGTCTGTCTGTCTGTCTGTCTGTCCGTCTGTCTATCTATCTATCAATTGTAAAGTGTATAGAGTTTACAGTTGAGAGGGGATATGTGCTATGCAAGTACTATTTATTAATTATTATTTATTAATCTTCGGTACTAATTTGTCCAGTTTGTTTTTCAAATGCCTAAAACATTTCCCTGAAATTAATTCGCAGTTACCCTCTGTGAATGTCCGAGGTATGCATGCTTTTACATATATCTCTATGTGGGTGGTTGGTGGGTACTCTGATTTGGTTCGCTTCTTCTTTCCTATCAAACATCTATCGTCTTCGTCTCACCTCCTTTTTTGTGTGTTTGTTACTCTCTTGTAACACCTCAAGTCTTCGGCTCTTATGTGACCTTGTTGTGTTGCAAGTGCCGTAAAGCATTTTCTAGAACAAACATAACTGTGACTGCTCAAATGCATGTTTTCACCTGGCCCATGATTCCTCAGACGGAGCCGAACGTGAGGATTCGCATCGTGGCGTACAACTCTGCTCTCTACTACGCCAACTCGGAGATCTTCCTCAAGCATGTGCACAGAGAGACAGGCGTCAAGCCGGAGAAGATGAGGAAAGTACTGAAGAAACTCATGACCCTCAACGACCCGTTGCACGTGAGTTCCGACGACTTTTGATAGGTTAACTCTTTGTTTACGTAACGGAGACATATTATAGCTACCTCAGAATTACAAAGTTCTCCACTTTTAGAGTGACTACGACCAGAGATCAGAAACTAAACTTTAATTATGTTTTTTTCTGTACTCTCTCAAAATTGTAACATTATTCAGAATCGTTATCAAGATTACATTCGAAAAGCACATAAGATGATCATAAGCAACATAATCTCTACAATAGCCTATCTCGAAAACCACAAACTTATACTTCATAAACGTGTTTTGACGCGTTTGAAAAAAGATAATTGAACACAGCGAAGAATTTTGGGAGTTGTCTGACAGAGTTTCCTTCTTGTAAAAATATACGAATTTAATCATAATTGTTTTCTTTGTGATTTTCGTTTTGTATACATGTCTCCACCGGCGTCTTCGGTGTAACGATGGGCACTTTGTCATCGCAAGCCGGATGTCCGAGTTCGATTTCCTAGAGGGGAGAATTTTAGTTAAATATCTCCATCTTTCTGCTTGGATATTGTATTCCTCTCCGTCCATGTTAGCATTGACAGGCAGGGTCGAAGCCCTCCCCCCTCCCCTCTCTCTAAGTTAGATTACTAAAATTGTGTCGATATATAAAGGCGTAAAAAAACCCACATACATTTAACAGCAGAGAATCTAGTGCGATGACTTACCATTTTGCAGATGTTACTATAACATGGATTTAATTATACTGCTTTATTTGTGTGAGAGTGCGGTGGGAGAAGCGGTTAGTGCGCTCGTATCCGAAGCGGAAGGTCTGGGTTCGAACCACTATTCAGACACGGATTTTTTTTCGCCTCCTCCTGCCCACCCAGCAGTAATGGGTACCTGACTTCGAGTTGGGGAAGTAAAGGCCACGTGGAAAGGAACTGGCCACCCTACCACATTATTATGCCGAAGACCCAGGAAGTTGTCTAACTAACAAGGCAATCCCCAATGTCCGGATCGGATGCGGGAACAACTTTACTTTATTTGTGTGTTATTTTTGTTCAACAAAATAATATGTCGCCCCGTCATGCCAGAATGTCTCCGTTTCCACAGAGTAACAAGAAAAAATTGCACGACTCCAAAATTGTGGAGATGGAGACAGTGACCCCTCAACCGGAACCGCCCCAAGCAGCCAATGGGGACACGTCTACGCATGGGCAAGATGCCATGACAGTCCACAGAGCGTCTATCATTGGTCCTTTGCCCAACCTTGACCCCCGTCCTTTCTTGTACCTCATCATTGACTGCACAGCCTTCACCTTCATCGACCCCGTTGGGATCAAGATCCTGAAGCAGGTTGGACTTTCGGTTGCTTTTTTTCGGAGAAGGGGGTGGGAGTTTGAACTTTAAAGCATGCAGTGCACTAAGCACAATTGGCTCATTTCTTCTTTTTCTTCTTCTTCTTCTTCTTCTTCTTCTTCTTCTTCTTCTTCTTCTTCTTCTTCTTCTTCTTCTTCTTCTTCTTCTTCTTCTTCTT